TGATGGCCTTTTAGCTCCCTGGGCATCCTGAGACGTTGAAGATGATCAGGATTGTGATTTACTGAATACAGACCAAGGCTACAGCAGCAAAGGGGTGGGCCAGCAGCTGGAGGTTAGCAGACACATTACTGACAGATGACTGAGCAATATTTTCTACCAAGTCTAGTTTCTCCCATCATCCGGTCAGGTGGGAGCCCTAAGAGACTTTAAAGAGATGTCCCATTTCTGAGTTCTCTAAGCTATTGTATGTTAACTATGTTCCCTTTCAGTGAGAAATTATGCACTGTGAGCAGCCAGGCATTAAAACATTGTACATTGCCATTGAACTAGTTTCCAGGCACTGGGAGCTTGAAGGGTAAGGTGCAGGGGTGGACTGACCATTTGGAAACTCGGGCACTGCCCGAGGGCCCAGGGTCAGTAGGGGGCCCCATGAGATGCCCCTGGTACCTTTTTCATAGGCTTTTTTGAGTTTGGGCAAGGACACAGGGGCCCCATGATCCCCTATTGCCCGGGGGCCCCATGAGTTGTCAGTCCACCCCTGGTAAGGTGTTTATGCAGCTTACAGTGAGAGGTTGTGTGCAAAGAAACAAACAGAGGGTGCACAGGCTTAGTGCATTACCTTCTAAAAATGAGATTTATTGAATAAAAATTAGTATACTCACAAAAGAATAAAACCAAGGCACATCGCAAAAAAGACAGCATGGTTCAATCTCCCTAGATGATGGCTATTGGGGGACTGTAGGTCTCCAAATAAACTGACGCGTTTCGAGGCTGAACCTCTTCCTCAGAGCCCTGTGAGAGGTTGATCTTTCATATCTCAATAAAGATGCAGGTGAAGTTGCAAAGTTTAAGGGTTCGTTCACACCATTTTTTTGTGCAGGAACCTGCAACTTGCATAAAACACATTGCAGCTTGCTTGAAAACTGATGTAAACTGATGTCTCTGCAAGTGAAATCTGCATGTCAGTTTCCATCAGTTTTTCTGCATGTATGGTGTGAATGAGGCCTACACTTCATCACTATTCTGGCTAAGCAATGTGGAAAGAAAGTGTGAATTACAAAGCAGGCTGAAGAGAAGTACAGATAAAGAGGGTTGACATGTTTATGGTTCAGGTGGGTATTTAAAGTGGTCTTAAACCACAAAATATACACTTATTATATTTCAGCTTACCATTTCTTAGATGTGATAGTTGCATTTGTTTTCTTCTGTAGACTTTCTTTCTTCTTCAGTTTTCACCTGGAGATCTGGCCAGTAAGTCTGTTGTTTTTCAAAAGAACAAGCTGCCTTTAAGATATCAGTTACAAAATCATTTACCACTGACAGGGATGCTTACAATGGTCAGTTTTATTTATTTATGTAAAACCTTTATTATTATTATACAGTACTTTATTGAAAAAGAAAAAAAACTGTTTGCTCTAACTGCTTATAAAGTGTTAGCTGGACTTTGGCTTCAATTTGTCAGTGTATGCCTGTACATTGAACATTCCCCTCCCCCCAGATTGACAATGCTGCTGTCCAAAGGTGCCCCTGTCCTCTTTCATCCTGAGTGGGGCACACTCAAATACAGGAGGTGTGTCACTGACCATATCGCCAGGTGAAAACAGATGAAAAAAAGCCTTAAATCGATTTGAAAGGTTATTTTTCTTTTTTAGAAAATAACAAACATACTATACTTACCTGTTGTGTACAGCTGTTTTACACAGAGCAGCCTGGATCCTCCTCTTCTTGCGTCCCCTGCAGGCTCCCCTGGTCTCTCCCTCTTGTCGGGTGCCCCCACAGCAAGCAGCTTGCTATGGGGGCACTTCTTGCTCTGTGTGTCCATTCACACATGGAGCTACAACGTGGACCCACCCCCTCTCTCCTCATTGGCTAACTGGCTGGGACTGGCTCCCGCTTGCAGTCTCAGCCAATGAGGAGGCAGACAACTGGGACAGCCGAGACTGTCTCTCACATCGCTGGATCATGATGAGGCTCAGGTAAGTACTGGGGGGCTGGGGGCACTGCAGCACACAGAAGGATTTTTACCTTCATGCATAGAATGCATGAAGATAAAAAACCTTCAGCCTTCACAACCACTTTAAAAAAGAAAACTAATGCAGCCATCACATCTAATGATTGATGAGCTGCAATATATAAACATTTTTTTGGATTTGGGTTTAATACCGCTTTAACTGTTTGGCTGACACTTTAATAGTGAAGAGCACAGAGGCTAAGGCCGGCCATACAGGGGTTGATTTTCGAACGATTTTTCATTTGAAAATCAGACCTAAGAATAATCACCCGATTTTCGCTCTGTTAGTGGGGCAATGGCATTGGCCGATTTTTGTGGTTCCTCCCCATTTTGTTTATCAGGCATGCTGGAAAATTTGTGAAAAATGACGGATTCTAAATCATTGGTGGCACCATTGGATTACAGAATGAACAATGTTTTCGATTTTTGATTGAAAAATCGTTTGGAATTCAACCCGTGTATGGCCTTCTTAAGCAGATGCTCTTGTACAGGTGATTGTATGCTTTCTGCATACTCCTCTATATGTTTGCCTTTTCTAAGATCTGGTTGCAAAAAAGGAGTATATTTCAGCCTAGCCATGACCTTCTCAATCAGGTTCAGAAGATAAAACCAAAACTTTCCCCTGAGGTAGTTCTCGAAGTGAACATGGGCTACAAGGAAAAGGACTTCTTTATTAACATCTCGGTCACATCAAACCTGACTTTTAAATCGTGCGACTTACAGTGAAGATTTCAAAGTCGGATGACATGCTGACTTCAGGTGCGATTTACAAGACATCTGACACAGATGTCTATGCAAATCGCAGCAAAAGTAGTACATGTACTACATTAGAAATCAGTGCGGCTCCGACCAAGTCCAAAATGCACTGATATGACCGCTCTAATTGTGGACGATAGGGTGTGATTTGGTATGCGATTTACAAGTCGCATGGCATGCAAAACGCACCCAATGTGCATCCAGTGTGACCAGGGACTAAATCAGCTCCCAAGTGTGTATATCACATATAAATGCATTTTATGTGTACTTACAACCAGTTCATGTGTATAAAAGATGTGAACAAAGGACACTAGAGTGATCTGCTGTTTTTGTATTTTCATTGTAGAGTATGACACAAAAGGTTATAAAGATATCTCACAAAGGTTTTGTGATCCTGATGATGTCTTTCGTACCAGAAAAGGCGTCTGTGCTGGATACTCCAGACTGTTCAAGCAAATGTGCAGGTAATAAAAAAGGGGAGGGGCCGACATTCCTACAGCCTGTCTGTAGGAGGAGAGCAATGTGTTACTATCCACATCCAATTCATGAAAATCTCTTTGACATTGAGGTTCCATGCACACGGGACGTTTTGTTAACGCTGGTAATGTTAGCTGTGTAAAGTCACGTTAAAAACGGGAGTTTTTCAGCTTTTTTTTTTGTGTTTTTGCATTAGCATTTAGCGGTGTTTTGCTGTGATTAGTGGCATTTTTCCGTGTTTGTTTTTTTTTTTACCCCCAAAAATATGTTTTTGGGTAAAAAAAAAAGTCTTTTGCGGCATTTTACAGCGTTTTTCAGCATTAGACGTGAATGTACAATATATATATTTCTAAAGCGCTGCGTAAATTGACAGCGCTATATCAGTACCTGAAATAAATAAATAAATTAGAGCAGTGTGCACAAGTTGACAGGGAGGAGAACTTTATTGTTTACATTAGTTCTCCCCCAGTCAGAGATCCTCAGCAATCACCGGGCACTGGCGAGTAGTCACTGGGCAGGACCCTGTGCTTGACAGCCACAGCCACGAATGGAGGCGCAGGTATGGCGCATGTGTACCTGGCATGCGCCACCAACCCGGAACTGCAAAATCACGTATATATAAATGATTTTATGCACCTGTGCCGCACTGTAGCAGTATATCTGCTATAGGGCGGACGGGAAGCGGTTAAGGAGGTTTCCAGATTTCAAAAATCCCTCCAGCAACCACTCAGCCTGGCAAGGTTGAGGGCATGTGCCTAGTAGGGTTAAGGTTGTGCTTGGCATCTCCTGCCTTTCCTGGCCTGCCAGGCTGCATGATTGGATGTCTGGTATGGATTTTAGGAGAACCCCACTCTGTTATTTCTTTGTTTCTTGTGTGGGGCTTCCCCTTAAAATTCATACCAGACTCAGAGGGTCTGAAATAGAATTTGGGGGAACCCCACACTATTAATATCCATACCAGACCCTCCTTCAATGATAAGAGTCTGGCATGTATTTTTAGTGGAAACCAAAGCCAGTAACCTCTATCCCAGACCCTCATCTAGGACAAGAGTCTGGTATAGATGAAAGGAATCCCCAGTAAATGATGGGGAGCTGTCATTTGACATATCAATAATTTACATTTATTGGACACACCATACAGATTTGCCACTTCATAGGTAGATTTGTATTTTTATTGTTTCACTTTAAGCATTATTAAAATATTTGCTCCTTGCCAAACAGAATTTAAAAAATGTTTTCTTTGCTATGGTTCATGTTCCCCGGTTCAGTGCCATGCCCCCCCCCCCCCCCCCATCCTTCCCTTCCCTCCCCAATGGCATTTGTCTGACAAATCTCTTACCTATTAGCCTAGAAAAAGGCAATTACTGTTCAGCTCCCTTTGACTTCATTGGGGTTCAGATTTGGTATACCTTTCGTAATGTTCTCCAAACCCACCTCAAACAGGATCCAGGTAACATTCGGTATATCTCTATTCAGGACTAGTAGGATCAAGCACCTGAGGAAATTTTTGTATTGATTATATATAATAATATAGTTACAATGTATTTGAGAATGAAAATTGCAAACACTGAATGTATAATATGCAACACCATGTAAATTGTCAGCAGTATATAAATCCCTAAAATGAATAATGTTAGTGGAAAACAAGTGTCAACCTGTAAATGAATTGTGCTTGCATTTGTGGTACAGTCTAAGATTGCAGACATGGGTTATGGAAAAGATGTGAAAATTGTTATTGATTGCATATTTTAATAGCATTGCAGATGTGAAATGTGAGGAAATCAGTGGCTATAGTAAAGGAGCAGGATACAAATTAGGGCAGAAATTTCCCAAAGAAACTGACCACGCCTGGAACATGGTGTATCTGGATGGCAGTTGGCATCTACTGGACAGCACATGGGGAGCCGGCCATGCAGATGACAATATAGACAATTTTACATTCTGGTGAGTAATATATTGATTCCTAACCTCCACTCTTCATGAAACTGTATGCAATTAAAGTGGAACTTCAGGGAACATATTTGCTTTATTTTATCTGTTCACACCCCACCATGTAATAAAAATCAAATACTACCTACCCTCTCCACATATTGCCAGAAGTATCCTTCAAGGCAGAATAGCACTTTGCTATTCTGCCTATTTCCTGTAAACCCAGCCTGCATTTACACCCTCCGCTTCCCCTTCCCCATGGGGCCCATCATTACACAAGGTGGGTGCACAGTACTCCAGGACTCCAGCGGCACTTGCCGATTATTACATGAGCAATGCTCAGTCCTGGAAGAATGCCTGCCCCCTGCTGCTGTTGAAAGAAGAAGAGGAGCCTGTGACATCATAGGATTGGCTTGAAAACTTTGGCGGAAAAAAAGGTAAGTCAATTATTTTTTAAAAGTATATTGGTGGAGGGGGCTACTTTGGAGGGGGGAGGGGGAAATTAGTTCGTAGACTTCTTAATAATCCTGAAGTTCTGCTTAAATACATATAATGATGGTTGTGATATCTTTTATTGCGCATGCCTTCATTTATGTTTTTTGCACATGTTTATGCAGACTAGTCTGTCCGAGAAAAGCGACGGTACAGGAGTTGGTACACTCTATAGCACCACCAGGAGCGTTTGTATATCTATATAACTTCAAGTGCATCTATTGCCAAAAGTGTTTATTTTATAATAGTGTAGGGAAGAATTGTCCCCACAATGTAGATATACCATTCCTATTTACCCTGGTGGCCATTATTACTAAGACACAAAGGGTTGGAAAAAACATATTAGAGTTGTCATCACAACTTTGGTTGGTTAAATCTTACAAAGTGGACCCCTATTCTAGTGACAATTGTCTAAGAGGGGATTTCAACTCACTTTGTGAATTTTTTTTTCTCTCTACCTGTTGCAATTTGGGACAGGAAGGGGAGGGACAGCAAAAAAATAACTTGACAGTGGTTTTAACCCTTCCATACTCTATCCAAAACTAAAGAATATTTTTTTGACTGTACATACAATTTAAATTAAAGGTAAACCCAATCAATAAAAACTCATATAAGACTTAAAGCCTAATTCCAGGTTTCACTTCACTTTAAATAGTTTGTTTGGGTCAAGATGACCCAAAAATACTACTTTCTTCACTCATACATTTGCCTGCTGTCAGCTCTGTAGAAACCGTATGTAGCATCAGCTACATACAGTATGTGGGCACTTCTGGCAGCAGTACAGGTACTTACTATCCTGTTTCGGGAACAAAATCAAGTCACGCTGAGCACTGCTCAGCCACTTACAGGAAGCTTTGCATTTTATGAATGAATTCTAGGCTTTGTCTGATTGCCTGAGCTGGAGAGACGGGCAGAAGACAGATAGAAGTTGCGATCTCTATCTTTGTCAATCAGAGGAACCCTTGTATTTATTCATAAAATTACAAAGCTTCTTGTGAATGACTGAGCAATGCTCAGTCTGACTCGATTTTGTTCAGAGAACGGGAGAGTTAGCCCCCGTATTGATGCTGGAACACAGAGCTGTATACTGTATACAGCCAGCTTGGCCCAAATTATATTAAACTTGGAGTTAGGTTTAAAATGTTAATGTAATTGCATAGGTAATTTTCATTGTTTTTAAATCTGCAGCTATGGTAAAACAATGGCTTGTGATCATTTTATAAAGGTCTTGGTTCTGGCAGTTCCTGTTATAGGTTGACAACGGGCTTCTGATGGAGACTACAAGTAGCCATTTCAATGCACATTACACAGGCATGGTCCACTGTTGTCATCATCAAGAAACCCGCCTTTAAAAATTCCCTGCTGAAATGTGTGCATGGTTGTACAGTTGCTCCAAAGAGGCTTCAGAGGTTTATCTGTGTTTATATGAATTCATTGATAAATATATAGTGAAACTAAGTGTTTTGTTAACCTCCAGAAGGTTATACCCTCTTCATGATCAGAGCATGTTTTTGCTATTTAGCACTGCTACTTCTTAGGTCTCTGACTTGTTGGGAATATGGTTGTGACGGTCGCGGCGTCAGACCCCAGCCCTTCTCACCAAACTCGTGACCGAAGGACTAGCCAATCTAAAACCACGGTGTCACGTGCGTAACAATGCCACACCCGGCTGCACCCTGCACAACGATTTTCCAGCTAAGGGGTACCGATCGATGTGCCAGCAGCCTGAATCGATTGTTACTGGGTCAGGTTAATTACGCAATTAACCCCTTCACACTGCCACCACCTCCTTTTGGTTCAGAGAAAGAGGAAACTCGCAATATCGCTATAACACTATAATAATTGAAATAATCGTCCGCATAACCCGGTCATTGACACAGGCCGGTTATACAGAGAGTTAAACCAACAGTAGCGTCTCTTTAAAGGCAGGGATTCGTAAATTGCAATTAAGAGTTATAGAAACAGTTCAACACTTTTAGAAGAAAGATTTACTACTAAAAGGGTCAAACAGGTGCAATAAAATATTTACAGAGAAGATGTACTAAGATATATATATAAATATACAGAGCACAACAGCACAGCAAACAGATAACAGAAAGGAGTTTAGGTAAATAAGTACTTGCCCACAAAGATGACTGGCGTTAAGCAGTTTCAAGTCTGATGAGCTCAAAAGGATTTCTGGTCTTGCACTTACTTGCGATGGTACAACAAGACTCTCGGTCAGCTAGATGGTAAAGTGCCGACTGACCTCACTTCTCTTCTGACTCACACAAGAACTAACAGTTTCTTTTCTACCCAAAAATCAACTGGTATCTCCTTACAAGCTTATTGCCTTATTTTGGGAAAGGGATGGCATAGACAGCCCCTTAGCAAGGTACACTGAACGCATTCCTGAGGGAGGGGGAAAATCGGAGGAGGGAGCCTGATTTAGAGTTTGAGAAAAATACCAAAATGCAGAGGTTTAGGAGCAAAATGAAGGACCGCGCCCATCTCTGTGTGCATGATTGTGACAATGGTGTCTAAATTTACTGTACTTTTCTATAATGTCCACATTACATGCTCACCACATAAACATGGTAGAATGTTGCCAGAATTCCGCCGCCTGAATCCATATATTGTACTGCTTCAGGAGACCCATTTTACGGTGACTTCTACACATATCCTGCCACAGTCTGTATTTAACCAATGGTTCCTCTGCCCTTCTCCAATACCTTAGACAAGGGGTGTAGAGATAGCTATCCACAAGTCATGCCCTATTGATTCAATCGCCCACGTTTCTAATCAGGAAGGCAGATTCCGTACATATTTCTTAAGGGTATTATTCATGGCAAGGTATATAATGTGTAATACTCAAAACCCATACTATTAACTTTTTCTCTAGTGTACTGAATGAAGACACTTCTTAAGTTTAAAGAGGGCTTCCTCTTATTAGGTGGGGATTTTAACCTCTTGACCCCCCCAGCTGGACAACTCCTCAGGGAAATCAACCTTTTCCTTCAAAGCACTAAAACATTTCCGCAAACTTTTACAGGATTTACTCCTAGTGGACAGCTAGCGAGTTGACAACCCTCCCACTAGGGATTACAGCTATTACTCCCATATACATAACTCCTACTTGAGAATAGACCTCCTCTATGTTGATTTTATAACAAGCCTCATGCTATTAAACACCATTATAAGGTGGGGGTGCCATCATCCCAAATGATAGGGGATAATATTGACTCCTCTACATGTTTCCACAAAAGCAGAAGCACACGGTACATAGTGGTGCACCATATGAGTATATATATATCTCTTCTGTCTTTTGATTATTTTCATACTACCTCCATGGTCTTACTTCTCTATAGAGCGATTTCTAGAGCTTGTACAACTTCCCAAGCCTCCAACCAGCAAACAGTTACCCATAGAAACCTTCGCCACCTCGACCCTTCCCTTCTTAATTCTGCTATTGACTGCCTTTGTGACAAAAGTGCACCTCTGTCCTGCCCTTGCCTGGCCACTTCTGTCTACAACAACTTACTGTCGTCTTCCCTGAACACACTTGCTTCTCTCTCTGCACACAGAGCCAGAACTCACCTGCTACAACCCTGACAAACAGAAGACACCAATAGCCTCAGGAGATGCAGCCATGCTCTTGAGCAAGCGTGACGTAAAACTAAATCCCTGCAATAGTGCACCCTCTACAAACCTGCCCTGCTCAAATACAACTCCTGTCTCCACGCTGATAAACAAACCTACTACAACACTCTCATCAAAACACACTCATCACCCACCACTGCCTCCACCCACTAATTTACTTACTGCCAAGGAGATTGGCAGTCATTTCAAGAACAAGATCAACACAATTTGTGATGAGATCTCCAGTGGCCAGCTTTCTCTTCCAACCAACATACCAGGTGCAACACCACACTCAGTACTTTCCTTTTTCAACCCTGTTACCACCGAGGGAGTTGCCAAACTCCTTTCCGAGGCACACCACCTGTTCCCTGGACCCTGTCCCTTCACAATTACTACATCCCCCTTCCTGCTCTATCCTAAACTCCCTAACCTCTCCACCAGCACCTTTCCCTCCCCACTCAAACATTCAGTGGTTATCCCCATACTTAAAAAACGCTCACTGGACCCAACCTGTTGAATAACTTAAGCTTCATCACCCTGCACCTGATGGCCTCCAAACGTCTTGAACGCTTTGACCACAACCATATGAGTTGCTACCTCACTGAGAACAACCTCCTTGACCCCCTACCATATGGCTTCCACCCACAACATTTCACTGAAACTGCCTTACTAAAACTCACTAATGACCTGCTAATTGCTAAAACCAATGGCCATTGCTCTATACTCATACTCTTACACCTTTTAGCTTTCTTTGACACAGCTGACCACCCTCTCCTCCTCAATAAACTCCACTCCCTTGGCCTCTGTAGCTCTGCTTTTTCCTGCTTTTCCTCTCACCTATCCCAGCACACTTTCAGCATCATGTACAACACCATCATCAATTAACCTCCCAAGGCTTCCGATAC